AGAACGTCGTAATTGACAAGTTCGTAATTTGCGGTAGTTCATTTTTTCCTGTTGCTATTTTGCCTAGGTTTTGCTCACCCCTAACCGGTCATCCGGTGGGACATATCAATCTTCGACATTTTTCTCCACAGTTTAACATTGACGATTGTCCATGGATAGGTGTACTCTCTTGGTATCAATGCGAAGGGGATAACAGGTAGGAAAAATACCTGTTTTTTAGAGGCTCCACCGTGTCTTTGGAATAAGCACCGTGACCCTAGTTAGGACCATGATTTGCCCAGAGGCAAACTTCAGTTATTCTGGTCACTGGGACCGCATCTGTACTGGAGATGCTTTATGATGTCTTTCCTTAAACTTAGTTCTATGGAAAGCTTCACTCTTATTTGGGCTTTTTAGGTAAAGATAGCTGGACCTGATAGTGAAATCGCTGGAGGCTTAAGTAATAGGCAATTAAACTCTCTTATCAAAGCTTGACGCATGGAGTGGAAGTCTACCGCCAGTTTTTGGAATACCTCTGTGTGAGCCGTAAACCATTACGTCCATGGTTCCACACTTAGTTGCGGTTATCACTATTTGTAGAGTTTACAATGGGACGAACCGATCTTGGAAGGCCGATTTGGCAGCCAATATTAACAAACTTCCTAGTCCGTCGGGATTCGTGAGTAACAACTTACTTCGAGCGCTAACGGAATTAAAGTATAATATTTCGACGTATGTCCGGCGATAGATATATAGATGTGAATCCTACTTGTTGCCTTCCGATAACAGATTGAACTTGGATGAAGAAGCTGTGGTTCGACAGAAGATATCGCACAGCACGTCATCTGATTAGTAGTCATCAAAGTTGTCGTAGTGGACCTCCACGAATCGAAACCTGCTACTGGGCCTCAAACGACATACTTTTTTAAGACAAAAAACAAAACAGCTAATTTTCTAACTCCCAACACTTAGAGCCACTCACAAATTGGCGCATTTCATCATGCCGCTTCTTTAGCCATATCCAACTGAGTTCTGTGGTCTAGCGTAATTGTAGTCGCAGTTAGCGCGGTGTTTTACCCGCGAGCGGCAATGTCCTTCGTCTACAAGTAAAAGAACACTGAGTCGGACTGGTCCAGATTTCGATAAAAGACGCCTCTTTTCTTTCTATTAACATGACTTTTACATCCTCATGTGTCTCTTCAAATTTGATAAGTCATCTCCTTGCTTTTCTAACAGTCTTCCTTATAGTCATCCTTTTAGGCTATAGCATCAAGTAGCTCGACCATTTGAGCAGTGGTGGGTTACACTGCACTCTACTCCGATGCAGTTTTTCCCAATCGATAGTATATCAATGGCACTTAGAGAAGGTTGTGATGACTCTGGTTGTGCATGTGTCAACGGATTTGGAACGAAGCCAACTACCACCACAAAGGAGCAGGATCAACCAGCTTGAGTATTGAATGGAAACTGGACGAGATTTACACTGTTACTTATCGCTTTCCCAGTAATTCTCCTCAACACTGACTTTCTAGCTGGCTGATGCACGAGATTTCTGCCTCTAGAAAATCTTAGTTCACTCAACTTACAACCAGTGTTATGGTGTTTATGGTTTGCTGTTTATCGTGGATCGCATGGCCTGGGTAGGTATAACTTATCCGCGGTACACGGTCAGACGTAGATTGCTCTGTCGCCTAGTTGTTTCCGCGTCAATACACGCAGTAACCACCGAGTGCATAGGAAAGAAACTAACAACCGGCGGACACTATGACGTCAAAAAACATAGCGTCACAAGCGTAGGCCCACGCCAACGGAATATGCTTCGGTTAGATGTCATTCGGTGAAAAATTGCTCATACTAAATATTCAGTTCAGCTGGAGCATCCAGAGATCAAAAGGAATTATTAATGACAACTCCGATGTCTGGTATCCGCGATCACAAAAAGTGCATCTGGAATGAAATGGCGTTTACGCTGACGTAATGCCCAGTATTCCGGTTACGGCACCGCAACATTGCAAGCTACCAATAACACGTTGTTCATACTACAAATATCAGAAGCTGCTTTTCGAGGTGTACATATGGATGGACCACATTCGTATTCAATCGCACTGCAACAGTGGCAGTGAAGAAACGATTGGTGAAGCCTTTGAGGTGCATCGCCGTGAAGGCACATGAAACACAGTGCCCTAAGAAATTCCAACTGGTAAACTTTAGACACATGGAAATCCGATTGATGTAAGAATGCTCAGTAACCTCATGGAGTGACTGGGCAATGATTACCGAGTGCTTCTGAGTGGTGTGTTAGGGAATGACTAAGTCAAAAGAAACAGACGTGGGACAGTATAATTCCACAATCGACTGAATCAGATATTCAAACCGCTCAATGCTTGTAAAAGTTAGATCTACTTCGTCGGAACAGCCTCTTTTTCAGGACACTTTACAGCATGAAAGGGTTTACGTAGACGGCGTAACATCCTAAAACCCGTTATTCACCCAAATTGTCGCATATACACAAGGACGACGTATCCATGTTAATAGTGAATATGATAACCACTCCGTTTGGATGCAGAAGGTGCACTCATTACACTCCATGACTTGGAGATCGGGTGCAAAGGATAGTTTGATCAGTGATGTCCCAACACTGTTATGGAATTATGGCCACAATATGCTCATTTATATCGTCTGTTGGCGAATGATTTGCCCTCGCCGTCTAACGGAACCTGGATGGATTGCTCCGTCATCGTTCTCTTGTGTCATTCCTTTTGAGAATGCAGAGATTCATGCAACAACTTCATCCTCGTTTGAAAGGGCTTGTCACTAACGATCCGAATCGATATCCAGTGTTGAGGGATCCCTGGAAATCTTTTACACAATTCGGTACCTGCATAATGAACCAAGAACAGTGAATTTCTATGAGTTAAGAGTCAACGATTTACCTGTACCTCTGAATGGTCTTGTAGGGTTATCGAAACATAAAATTTAGTGGGTTATTTACATTTAAAAGAGGAAGTTAACGTTTGTTTCGCTGTAGTTCTGCGATCCATGTAGTTCCACAACACAAACATTTAAGAACAAATAAGTCCAAAGTGTATTCCAGAAGTGAGATGGAGATGTAGTACCAGTTCTCGATGTGAAGGTGAATAAGTAAGTCATGCAAAAATCTTTTAAGTATGGTTAGTGAAGATGCAGAATGACCGATTCATGGAGAGAATTCCACGGGTGATACACGCGAACAGAAAAGAAATTCCTACGGCAGTCTATGCGACTGTATGTTCTGCTAGTTTTAGTGAGTGACCTCACAATTTGAGCTGTATATATATATATATATATATATATATATATATATACGGTTGGCGGTATCCGATTTCGGAGTTACTTGTCACTGTGGCCAGCCACAGGACGCCTGCGCCTTCAGAGGGACCATAAGTGGCTTGCACTTCACCCCCCCCCCCCCAAAGCCTCAAACACCTACCCCAAATCCAGTGTAAACCAGAAGGAATAAGACCGGGAGGCATGTGGATGGGAGCCAAGTTTCATCAATGAAACAGACCCACACTCCTTCACAGGTTAACACAAGCACACTGTATTTGGGGAATCAAGTGCACACAAGGCAGTGGCTGGACCGTGGTCCGCTCAACACTGAGTGCTTGGAACAACTCTGTTATCCCAACACGGCCACAAGGACCGTGCACCCTGTCCCCCCCAGCAACGACCAACTGTCTCCTGGAGCCAGTATGAACGATATAGTGGGTAATAGACAGGTAGGCACCTTGTCAACATACACATCAAGCGCAACCATACCAGGGATATCAAATTACAGCCATTCAATTTAAACGACAAGCTGAAATAAAATAAATCCAAAAATGCATACAGATACGGTGGCATAACTCTTCGCTAAATTACCATATGAAGTAAGTTGGTCAGCAACAAATCCGTGATAACTAAGAAATGTCCACAAGTTACTTAAAATGCTACAAACGCAACAAAGTTATCGAAGATAAGCGCAATTAGCGTAAGCAACGTGGCCAGTTAATAGAAGATTATTCAGGTAGGCAGAACAAACCAATAAAGTCGAATGAAATTTATCCAGCGTAAAATGAGCTAGTTTTAGTGTAAGTTGGTTTAGCCCAACTGCGGTGAAGAAGCATCAAGAATGCACCATCAGCCTCGGCATGATGTATATATATATATATATATATATATATATATATATATATATATATATATATATATATATATATATATATATATATATCTGACTGTCGTGATTTGTGGTTCCATGACGCACTTTCACCTCTGGTCTAAGTCGCCACTCACCACCACTGTTTGTGCAGTGGCCCAGCTAAATTCTTTGTGGTACCTCCGCCGTGAAGTCCACTGTCAAAGGATTCAAGGAATATCCGCGATTCTAATGAGCGAAACTGGAAGTAGACAGCTTCCTAACTCTCTACTGAATGTACCAAATCCGCGTATGTTACAATTGGCAGTTGATCTCTTCCAAATATTGCAGTATTCGACGTAATTCATCAAATCGAGTTGAGTTATATTTATTACGATCGGATGGGTTAATGTTTTGTATTCATTAAACATACTATGGTTAGCGTGTAAGCACCACTGCTCTGTGAGCAATAGTACTAAGTGAATAAGGGTGTAATTCACTTAGTAGATATTCGAGAAACATTATGAGGAGCAACCTCCGACCAAGTGTAACTTGTCACAATAGCCCCAGATTAGCACCAAAATTGTCCAGAATGTGCGATTGCTCACTCTTTGTGCAACGTCGCACACAACAGTACAAAGTCTGAGTTGTAAGACAGGATGTTATGAAAAGCATTCTAGCAACGCACCAAAGACACCAATTATAACAACTGTGAACACGTGGCCTGGCACTTTCTACAAATCCCGCCGATGGATTGCACTTACTTGCTTCTAATGCATTGCAGTATACGCCCTCTACTTCTCTCTGTCGCTTTCTGTACAGCACGAAGAAGCTGATCACACAAGCAATTTTGGACAATGATTTTATGAAACATCTGGATCAATGGCAAATCTCGGAAATTGTCGAATCCATGTGCCCACTCCGTTGCGCCCGCCTATCGTGGATCATCCAAGAAGGAGAGGTTGGCTCGGTGGTGTACGTGCTCGAGGGTGAGTAAATCTGCAACCAGAATTTCAGTCATGGGTCCAGGTAATTTTGAGTTTTGTACTTCACCGTGATCTGTCCAGCAGTAGCGAAGTTTAGAAGAATATTCGGTTAGCAAACCAAACTCCTGCACAACTCAACCTTGGTCAGTGTATTGATGTACGCTGGAGCTTGTTGCCTAGGTTTATCTCATCGAAATAGTGGTAAGGCGAATGACAATCCTTCGTGCTAAACCAACACGAACAAGTAAAGTGTTAATAGCTCGAGATGGAATGGTAAGTGTATGAGATGACTTCACTGAGGCCATGAAATCTGATATAGGCACATATTTTCCTCATACTAATCATTACAGTATATCGGTTTCGCCACTGTGAAGTGACCTTCTGCTGGCGCACCAAATCTCGAGAGCCACAACCAGTATTGTGTCACCCGTGAAAATTATCCTAAATGTTGACTTGAGGGAGCTCAAGCAAAAGCTGACTGTGCAGCGTGTTCGGTTGGTAAATCACCGGAATTATTCCCTCCGATTGTGCTCTTGGAATCTGGATCACTTCTACCTCTATTAAGGGTATTCAGTAAGTGAGTTGAGGACAAACTATCACAGTCGAAATTACCTGAAAAACTGGTATCTCGGAGTGCTTGTTCAGTTATCCCAATGTCCGCCGAGCTGAGTAATTTGTTTGCAAATATATCATCATTAATCGAGGTGACACACATAACTGAACACTGACGCATACACACTTGATGATTTAACTCGCTTGCATCGGTACGAGTCATGGTGCAAACTAACAGTGTGCTAATTTGTCTTCCTCATGGAAGACCGTCACAATGGTACAATGATTTATGACGGGTAAAAAGTATAGGCTTTACATATTCTGTACTTCACTAATGGAAGGAATTACAAATTCTAATACCACCTAAGTGGGCCAAATAAGATGCACATCAGTGAAGCGACACAGTATTGGTTTAAACAAATGGTTGTATGGGAGTTACATGGACCATGAAAACGGAATAACAAGTTGTTATGGTTAATGGTTGTAGCGAATAACAGCCGGATTGCTCTCCCGTCTGCACAGATCTACGTGTGTCACGGTGGTTTATAATTCCATAGAAGCTAGTTAAACGGAATATATTCCAGGTCCTCCGTTTATGTGACAAATTGTGGGGAGTTCAACGCCATATCCAGCCGTCTTTTGAACATAGCCAAAGTGAGGGGCACAACACCGGAGTTGGAAGAGTGTTCAGAGTTTTCCAAACCCGGAGGGAAAAGTAAGTTTCGCAACAATCAGAACAACTGTCTTTTTACCTAAATCACAGGCTACTGCTTCTGAGGTTGGTGTTCGGTCTGAATTTCAGAAGATAGTGACACGTGTGGCTGGAATCACATAGTATTTTGTATCTTAATAGGAGATCTCCAAGTAGTTACTACTAACGTCAAAGAAAACGCAGAGTATCTGCAGTCGTTCTTAGTACGGAAGATTTCTTGTGATTATGTGGCATCGATCGATATAAGCTCAAGTTTTAGCCAAGGTTGACAAAAGTGGATAGCGTATTAGATATGTGAACGTACGTAGGCACAGCGTCACGGAGATGTCTCATGAATCCAAACTCCCGAATACCCTCCGCAAGAGATCGACATGCTGGGTACATATTTTGCAAGCTGACTCAGACTATTTGGAACAACCGAGGTCACGTTTCTAAGTATTGGTTTTTAGATGGTGTATAGATCTAAACATGCCAGTGGCGTATGTGTACAACGCCGCAGTTTTTCACATTGAATGGCTGCTTTTTTCTCACGACCAATCCCAGATCTCATCGTGGTCGCACTGTAAGACCTCATGGTTGTCCTTGACCGGACGAGCGTGCTGATCACGCACTTGTGCACTCTGGACTTTTTGCTGTTTCTCAGTGGTACTTTCTTGCACACCATTGGATCTAGACACATTCGTCATGCTTTTACAACCTCTACCACAAAAAACCATTTTCTCGAGTACACTACTGCGCACCCTATAATACAATGAATAGCACTGCGAGCAAATTTCTGATGCTCTGGCCACCGCAGAGGATAATCAATGGTGCCCTATCTGCTGCATCGGGCAAGGTGGATAGGGGTTTGGATGCTACTGCTCAAGCTTTCCCGTCTTCTTATTCCCCTCTTACACTTTTTACTCTTATCGACCCGTTCCAACTTCACTTGTATCCCCTCTGTTTTCAACCCCCTAATTCTCGGCCATCTCCACCTTGCTTCAATAGTCGCCTGTCTTTTAATTTCAACTCACATGTGAACGTGGAGCGTCATACCTGCCATGTCAACAGGCCCATGTCCAAGCAAGCGGTCCATTCCAGTTCTTCGGCTTTTATTTGGAGCCCTCGATCCTTCTTCAGATTGGCATGCCTCAATGTTCGCACATTGCTTCAGATCGGTCAACAGGCAGCACTTGCTCGAACATTATAGACCCTATCGATCGATATCTGCTGCTTATCGGAGACCCGCCTGCAAGAGTCGAATTCTGTGATCACTCTACGATCCCCTTCAGGTGACAATAGCAGCATTTTCTCGTTGCGCCTGTCCGGTGACGATGCAGCTTCGAGCACCGGCCAACCCGGTGTTGGTATTGCCCTGAGTCCCTGGGCTGAAGCTACTCTGGTTGAATGGATTCCAATCAGTAACCGGATGTGTGCGGTCCAATTGGCTGGCTTGTTTAAAACTTCGAAGTCGCGTGGGACTAACAGGTATCTATTCGTTATCGCTGCCTATACACCGAAAAACTGTAGCGATGACTCGGTAAAAGACGACTTCTATCGTCAGCTGAACGAGCTCCTTCGCCACAGATGAAGCTCGGATACTGTTGTGGTGGCTGGGGATCTGAGCGCACAAGTTGGAAAGTTGTCCACTGATGAACTGCATCTAGGAGGTCAGCACGGTGTAGGCTCCCGTTACTTCATTTGTGTGAGGATGCTCGTTTATTTCTTGCAAGTACTAATTTCAGACACAGCGCTCGCCGGAGAGTGGCTTGGCGTCCAACAGCCTCAAACCAGCTATGGACGCAAATCGATCACATTGCGATAAGTTACCGATGGGGAGGTTGCTTCCAGAACTGTCGCTCGATTTGGAGCACAGGTGTGGACACCGAGCATGAATTTGTGTATGTTGACCTGTGGATGCGCTTTGGCGGACGCCCAAGACGATGTAGTGAGCGCATTAACACCAGCCAACCTGGCGAAAAAGCTGTTCTGAATGCGTATCAACGTACTTTGTCATGTGAGTTGGATAGACGCTCACTGGATGCAGTTGAAGCTCACTGGTTTCATATTCACCAGACCGTACTAGCAGCAGAAAAATCCTCATGTGGTAAGTCTAATCGCCAACATTGACATTGGGTCTCTTCACAGTCTCTGGAACTTATAGATCCTTGCCGGCATATTCCAGCTGGAAGCGAACACAATGAAACTCGCAAAGTGCTCCGAGCAAAACTCCGTGCTAGCCTGAAGAGAGACCGCGAATCCTCGTGGTCTCATCGTGCAAAAGAGAAGGAAATGGCCGCTGCCCTTTGTAACCATCGTAAGTTATTCTGTCTGATAAGGGAAACGGGCAGCAGGAGACCTGGTGTTAGTGAAACTATACGTACCGAGAGTGGACAACCTATCCACAACTTATCCAAACTCTTGGAGCGTTGGGCTGAGCACTTTAAAAGGCAAGTTAATCGGTCGGAATGGTTAGATTTCTCCCCGGTCATTGTTTGCCCCGCTCCGTGGCTGTCCCTTTGGATCCACCCTCTCGCTCAGAAGTTGAACGTGAGATCGAACTGTTGAAGTTCAATAAAGCCGCAGGACCTCATGATCTTCCTCCAGCCCTCTTCAAATTCGGGGGACCTGCTCTTGTGGATGATTTGCATGAGTTACTAGTCAAACGGTGGGAGCAGGAAACTGTCCCAACCGATTGGATCCACTCCGTCATTGTCCCAATTTTCAAGGGAGGCTCACGATCGGAATGCGGCAACCATAAAGGAATCAGTCCGATCCCAATCGCTTCCAAATTGCTTGCCTCTATAATCCTTTACAGACTGACTGGCACTTGTGAAAGCCATATTCGTGAAGAGCAAGCCGGGTTTCGTCGAGGTCGTGGCTGCATTGACCACATCTGCACATTGCGTCGGTTATTGGTGCATCGTTACATATATTGGCGGCCCATTATTGTCGTGTTCCTCGATATCAAAGGTGCATTCAATTCGGTGGATAGACATGCACTTTGGGACTGTCTACTCAGGAAAGGTGTACCTGAGAAATACGTGAATATTATTCGAGCATTATATGAGCGTGGCTCGGGCAGAGTGAGGGCTTACGGCAAGCTGTCCTCGTCCTTTAATATATCCAGCGGTGTAAAACAAGGATGCCCGCTGTCACCTTTCCTCTTCAACTTCGCTATTGACGAAGTCATGAAAATCGCGTTCACCGTACACGACTTAGAAGTTGTGGAGCTACTCCCAAGAGAACGACTTCTTGACTTAGAGTATGCTGATGATATTGCCCTACTCTGTGACAGCTCCGAGACGTGCCAAGCGGCACTGGACAGATTAGCACTAGCTGTCCGTCACTTCGGGCTTTGCTTCGCACCCTCGAAGTGCAATGCGTTCCTCCAAGATTGGTCTGGATCGCTTCCTACGCTGACCCTTGGTGGAGATCACTAGAAGTTGTTCAAAAATTTAACTATCTGGGAAGTTGTATCAGTGCCCGTGGGATTAAGGATGAGATCACGAATCGTATAGCAAAAGCTCGGGGCGCTTTTGCCAACCTTCGCCACGTATGGCGGCGGGGCGATATCACTCTTGCTCTGAAGGGTAGAGTGTACAATACAGCGGTAGGTTAGACCCTACTGTAAAGTTGTGAACCCTGGCCAGTTAGAGCAGCGCACTTGAAGAGGCTGGTTACGTTCGACCACCAGTGCCTTCGTAATTTAGCTTAAGTCTGGTGGGAACACCGCGTGAGCAACGAGCGTGTTCGACGC